TTTTTTATCTAACCGCTAGCATCACGTATCCGTCTTACCTTTTTATCTCCAGGCGAAAGTATTCACTGGCGTAGCGCTAAAAAAGTGCTTTTTAACTTGCTTGCAGCGATTAGTTATTTATGACATTCATTTTAATGTTGTCATGAAAGCTCTTCATTCTGAAAAAGTCGCCGTTTAAGATTTTGCTCGTAATTCTATAAGCTGCATTTTGAGAAACCTGTATGTGATGGCATTGTATTGTCTAGGAGATGTTGCTTGGCGGTTGTATGACACCTACGGTTTCCCTGCTGACTTGACTCAGCTCATGGCAGAAGAGAAGGGTCTCACTATTGATCAAAATGCGTTTGAGGAGTGCAGAAAAAAGGCGATAGTTGGTTTTTTGTTTGTTTTTTTTTTCCTCTCTTAACTCTTGTCGGCCAATAAATCTTTCAGGAGCTTTCTGCTGCGGGAGTCGGCAAGTTCCGCGACACTCTTGATCTTGATGTTCATGCAATCGCAGACCTGCAAAAACGTGGAATTCCGTCAACGGATGATTCGCCGAAGTACAAATATCAAGGAGATGGAGCTACTGATGGTTCTGTCAAGTACAGTATGTGTTAGACTCCTTTGATGTCTGTCATTATATATCATATTTTTTGAATTCCTCTACATTTTATAGCATTCTCACCTTGCACTGGTAAGATACTTGCCATCCGCAGCGAAGGAAAATTTGTCGATTCGATTGAATCTGGGGCCGAAGGTGCCATATTACTTGACAAAACAAATTTCTATGCAGAGCAAGGTGGTCAAATCTATGATACCGGTGTACTGAGCAAGACTGACGAGGAGGTTGGCTTTACGTGAAATGTTGATACAACTACTCTCGATTTCATGTTATCATATAAGGGTACCGAGTTTGTTGTTTCAAACTGTCAAGTCCGTGGTGGCTACATCGTACTTGTGGGCTCAGCAAATGGAAAATTCTCTGTAGGAGACGAAGTATCTCAGAATTTCGATGAGGTATTGTATTTTTTTTCGCGAAGTGGGGTATATTCTCCGATGGTTTTCTTCGTGTTTTTTTTTTGGCAGCAAGGATTTTCAGGATCGACGGTCTTTAATAATGAAGAACCACACTGGAACCCACGTCTTGAATCATGCCCTACGTTGTGTGCTGACAGATTCAGATCAGAAGGGATCCCTTGTCGCTCCGGATCGGCTCAGATTTGATTTTACCAACAAGCATGCGATGACTGTTAAACAGGTATCTCCTACATTTTTTGAATCAGTCACTGTAATTTGCTAAAGAACGTGACTTTTCACGCCATAAAACCCTGCTTAGGTGAAAGAAGCTGAGGACATCTGCCAAGAAATAATAAGATCGCGTGAGCCTGTGTACGCCAAAGAAGCTCCTCTTTCAAAAGCTCGTGAAATTACTGGCCTTAGGGCAATGTTT